GCCTTAGAGTAGATCCCATTGTTGTATAATTTCTTGCGCCGATCGTCCTCCGGCTGGCGTCTGGGTCTTAGGTGTGGGCGTTGACGCGGGCTTCTGCGGGGCCTTTGTCGAGGGGATTCGTGGCGCGGAAGTCGTCGTATCGGGCACATCCGTGTAGCAAAATCTATAAAAAAACACGATCATAAAAGAGTGGAAGCTCTTATTGTCAATAGGTGAAATACGCGGGTGTTGGAATCCCCATCCCTTCCGATAGTAAGCCTGCCAGTGGTCAAACAGGACACACTATACTGTGTTCTCAGCTTCAATTTGTCGGCCAAAACCTTAAGACATACCCTGGTCTACCCACATCTACTTCATGTATGTATGTATGTATGTATCAGGTTACCCCTGAAAGACGGTCCCCAGGATTGAGCTCTTGTGAAAGTACTCCCTAGGGCGAAGCCAGAATTCATTCAAGACCCATAACTAATGCAGTTCCTATTGCCGCATCATGCGCAGACACAGAACAAAAGTAACAGAAAGGAAGCTGCCATTCTATATAGAACGCTAAATAGACTTCCGAGTGCAGAAGGACCTATTAACTACTCGCATATAGACAAAAGAAACCCCTCTTGAGCATACAAACGTTTGCTTACCTTTCTTTTGCATTATAAATCTGCCTATCATTTACTTTTATAAGCAGCCTTCTACTGTTCATTTATAGTAAAAGCGCGTTTCGGCTCATCATTTATTAAGTTAAGATCTTTCATGTGTCTCAGAGTAGGATTGGCGAACTGGAAGTGTACACAATGCAGGCAGTTTTAAGCAGACGTTTTGCTCCATTACATTCACCGCTGATTTGGGGCTATTCGTACAATTATAGTCAGGAGTAGTGGTATGATTATGGCTAACATAAGAGGCCACCTGTCCCCTTTCTCTGCCTGTTTTAGAGGAGCGTGATATAAGCAATGCCAACCCGTTAAATGTGCTTCCTAGTTACAAGATCAACCAACCTCCACACACAACTAAAACCCCTCAACTGTTAGAAAGACAAGTTTTAAACTAAAATTGTGCATTATTTCTTCAGGTATTCAGTCGCAATTAAAACAGCAAACTGACGACTTTATGGTGGGTGACATGATTGCAGTCGGGCTAGCTTAGTGCACATTATAACAAGGTATAACAAGAACTTACACGGATTTGAATCGCATGTGATCTACGAGGTTCTGTTCTACAGAAGTCACTTTATTGCGCATTATAAAGATGATGCAGTCCCCCTCAGTTCTCACCTTCATAAATTTAGAGTCACAGAGTCTGTAAGTGGTATAACCGTCCGCGACAGTGTCGGCGCCTAAAATGAAGGTGTTGTAGCATAAACCTCCCCGTCTGCATGAAATATTATGCATTTTTAACAGCGAATAATACGATTAAACAATAGTCACTGGGCCAGTGGCCTCAGCTTCAAAAGATGTATGTGCAAAATTGTATTTACCGCCATATGGACTGTGGTAGACGGGCACCATGTATACGTCCATTTTTTGTAAGAAAGCAAACACGGACTGCCAACAGAAGAGAAGCACAAGAGCAATTCTCATGTCCATAATTGAAGCGAACTCGGGATTAGGCGCGCTTATATACATAGTACTTGGTTGCTTGTAGTAATATTGCAATTTAATGGTAGCATAAACCCATTAGGATTAGCCATGTCAAAAGCTGTCCGCTTTATGTGCACTAAATGTCACCTCCTACTGCTAATTTATGTCCAGAGGGCTGTCCACATGACTGAGAGAACTGAGAGAATTGAATCACATTAATTTACATTGCGGGCTCGTCTTTTTTCTGCCTACGCGTGAAGTTATTTTTTAAATTAGGCAAGAAAATGGAAGAGATGATGTATTTTGCAGGACCGAGCACTGCTCAAAAAGGAATCATTTAAGTTAACTAACGAAGCTCCACAGTAGGTGAGATAATTCATGGAAATTTGTGATTAAAATTGAACTTGGTAGGTTAGCATATATTTGGTGACATTAATGAGACCTAATGAATGGATAAATTTCTGACAAAAACCATTTACCTAGGAGAACTACCCGTTTAATACCGTAAATTTAACGTAACAGTCAGAGTTTTGAAAAATTGGAGGTTATCTAACATCGAAGAAATTTTCTGTGCTATAAAGTACGACAGAACAAAACGTTAGGGCTTTCTACGTTGCCCCATTGCTGAACACCAATATAGGGAAGAAAGGTTTAAAATGCATCCCTATTAGAAAGTTTTCATCTGTAGCTGATGAAAACCGGTTGGGGGTATCACTTTTTTTCTCAGAAGCAAGGACACTATTCAGTTTTGAGATTCGTTTTTTTGCAAATGCCTGAAGTTTTTGCCAAAAAGGCAATTCAAATTGACCTTTATTATTTATCGCAACGAAGATTTGGGACGGTGACCTAAAATATATACTTGCATGAAAAAGATCCACAATTGCGATATATTGATAACGATTTGCAAACCAACATTAAATTAGTTTGCAATACTAATTATCGTGCAGCCTAATCTCAGGTCATTTCAGTCACGTCAGAATGGCCGCCTTCTCACTGATTTTATTATAAACATATTCTGTAACAAATGCCTACTGAAGTAGTATGTGTTTAACTCATTGATTTACGCTGGCAGATATATTTTATTGAAAACATCCACGATATTTTTCACGAATGAGAGAGAATATTCGCATTCCAGGTATGTCTATTGGTAAAGAAGACAAATTATCGAACACTGGAACGGGATGTATTTTTCCCTGAGCTTTCGAGCTCTTGCAGGAGCACAGACACGCAATTATTAATTTTTTACACGTTTAAAATTTCAGTTATTGTACACACGCCCCAAGTAGCTAGCCCATTTGTTGCTGTTTCTCCACCTCTGACGATGAGCTCCTACACGAGCTCGAAAGCTCAAGAAAAAATACATCCCATTCCAGTGCTCGATCATTTGTCTTCTTTACCACGATATTTTTCCTTCTTGTACATGTTTGGCAGAAATTTAGGCCTTCTTCAGATTTTATACTTAAAGGAAGATCTCAATAATACATATTTGTGTAAAACGGAAAGATACCCGTCCTTTACGTAAAGTATTTGAAGAAAGCGTAATTTACTACAAATATAAACCAAAAGAATAAATTTTTGGATATTTTCGATGAAATGTATTTGGCAGTGATAATAAGTAAGTTAAATGTATACGTCTTAGGCCGTCTTTTACATAGTATATTTTTCTAAATGGTTAGAAAGAAGCTCCTTAATAATACTAAAATCCTGACGTGACTGAAATGCTTTGAGATTAGGTAGCAAGATAATCAGTATTTCAATCCTACTTAATGCCGTTTTGCGAGGGATAATCAATCCTTCGTGAGGTTATTCCACCAATACGGAACAGCAAGCTGACTGACCAAACAGGATTTCCTAAGCAATCATCTAGCATCCATCAGAATGACTACTCGGCTGACTTATTTATTTAACGGGTTTAAGCAGGTTTGATTAATTTAGTTGCCTCAATTGTGAAAAGCTCGCGGCGTCCGCGGGAGTCCTAGAGCCAATACAAGCGAAAAGGCGAATTTTAGAAAGCAATTGAGAAGAAGCAGACGCGATATTAGGGGCATGAAATTTGTTTGTTTACCTTTCGAATTCATGCACGAACCCATAATCGGAAGCTGTATAATCTATGGGAAATGTGCTAGGGTATTGCATATCTATGACAATTAGCGGCTTCCCAGTTCATCAGGAATGATTGCCCTCTGGTGTGATAATTGTTGGATAGCCTTCATGCGAGTAGCTTATCACCGAAGTTGCTGATATAAGCCAATATGCGAGTTTGATAAGCAGTGCAGAAGTAGAGGATGCAACCGCTGGAATATGAAGTTTATTTGCCTGACTTTTCGTACTCTGCCGCGGACGCTTAATCAGAGGTAACCGTATAATTGATTGATACATGCACAGATCCAGGTGAGATAGTTACAGGTCAGTACAATACGCGCCAGAATTCGTGCAACATGCCGACACATGCGAAAGATGGAGGCAATTTCGCTAATCAGCATTGACTCAGGTTGTGAGACTGATTATCGTGTAGTCTATCCTGAAGTTATTTCAGTAATGATGGGATGTCGGCTTCTTATCGAGCTTATTTCTGACCGGTAAAAAGACGTATATGCTGTTAATAGTATGCGTATTTCTTATTGATTGTGATTGCCTTTATAAATTCAAATATATTTTAAGGAAAACGTAAACGAAAAAATATTTCTTGTACATCTTTGGTAGCAAATCACGCCTTCTTTAAATTTTATATTTAAAGAAACATTATCTTCTGGTTTTAAAAATTTCTAATTCTGGGCTTTTTTCGATTGTGAGGTGTTTATTCCTACTACATCGTATCCGTCAATTAAATAATGCTGCCTATACTGTATAAAGCATGCCCTTCGTCTACTGCAACATTTCATGAGAACAAACTGTAGACAAAAACGTAATTTTCTTTAGGCAAGATGTACCCAGTGCGCAGTTTGTAAACATTAAATCCTAGTGTATCAGTCAGAAGGTTTCAAACTTATTCGGCAATTTGAAAACTGTTCTAACACCCAAAGATACCCTTTCTTTAAGTATCAAATTTAACGAAGACGTAATTTACTACAAAACGATTACAAGAAATATATTGTTCCTGCGTGATTTCCATAAAATATATTTGAATTTATAAAGGCAGTCATAATCAATGTATTATGCGCATGGTATTTAATTAGTTACTTTCTACAATACATACATTTTGTTAGTGGTCAGAAAGAAGCTCATTAAAAAGCCAACGTCCTATCATGACTGAAATAACTTCACAATAGGCTACATGATAGTCAGTATCACAACCTGAGTAAATGCTGATTAGCGAAAGACTATTAATCTTTCGCATTTGTCGGCATTTTGCACAAATTCTGGCGCGTGTATGTATGGTTCGTAGTAACTATGCAACCCCATGAGCACGCTCAGTATCAGGTCCCTTGACCACCCAAGGAGGTCGTAGTCGGGTCGGTAGTCCACTTCCATGCCGTTGATCGCCGCAATTTTGACATCCGTGTTGGATGCAGGCTTAACAATTACGCGACAATTATCTTCGCTTCGGTGGAGTTGTTACTGGGCCCGGTTCTTCCCAGGTGACTGATTCTCCTGCATAGATGACGTCTCTTTGCGGTGTCTGGAAACGGTAATTCGCCGCGCTTCTTGATTGATTGTGGGCCTGAGAACTATGACTCGAGCAGCTCGCGAACAACGCGGCTATCACTCCACGCGAGGATTTTGGCCTCGCTAAACTTAAAAATAGTGCCAGGTCCGGTCAAGTGAGCTGCGACCTGCCTGACGTTTAGGATTCTATCGAGAAACTTTAATTATTGGCAACCGTAGAAAAGGGCAATATATGCAAAGATCACGCAGTACTTAAAGTTCAACTCACTCGACGGAACCCAGTCGGGGGATTCAGAGGGATCTTTCTATAATGTTTCCAATGGTTCTATGTCACTTTATTAACTGCTTTTCATTTTTATTTCCAGCAGATACATTGTCTCAGTAATTAAAAGGTACTTTTTTGGCTCCAATTTCATTTGTAAGACGACTTTTATTGATGAGGTAGATAAAAACAACTGCAAAGTTTGAGGATGTGTTTTCTAAGGAACACAAGAAAGCCTCAGAATAGTTGGGTGGGTGGAACGGTGAAAGAGGTTTGTATTTCTTGAAATAAAGCAATAGTAATGCCCCTCCTAAAAAGAAAATTCGAAGAAAAACTTTTAAGTTCCTCGACGTCATAGAACGCTTTCAAAATAGAGGGGTATTTATCTGGTGACCAGATATTGTTTATGGAAAACAATTAATTTCAACCAAAATCATTATTTGGCGGTAAATTTCACAGGGAAACGCATACAAATAATATCTTCACCTGACATCATCAACATATTTTACGAACTGTGTTTTCTAGTATGTAAAAGCAGTAACATATTGGACATTTTTGGACATTTTATCACCAGCTGAATATCTGTTTATTTACGAAACGAAGTAAAATGTCCAATTATATGGCAATTATAGAGAAAGAGTTATAAAAAAAGCATATAGTCGCAACGTTTTTCCATTCAAAATATGGTAATGTTAGTTCGTGTAAAAGGCAGCATACACAATACAAAAAAGTCATTTATTTGAAAATATAGCTCTGTAAAAGACTAAGGCATTTTTGATTGTTTGACGAATGATATAATACTACTATAATAATTTGAAATTTTTCGCTTTTCATTTGCTTATAAAACTTTGAAATACAACTTACTTAAAGCATACAAATATGTGCTATCGCTAAATGTCATATATCTCTTTGAAATCTCAAGTTGCAGGCAAACGTCTATAACATGAAATAAACTTCGGATAAATTCTTCGGACGAGGATCACAGAATTCCGCCTTTACCATACACAAGCGGTCCGTTTAATTCAGTTCGAATTTTAATTAACTAAAGCAACCTATCGACATGTTCAGCATA